GGTGGTTGGGACCAATTGATGCATCTTAGATGGCCACTTGCAAGCTTTTAAGACCCCAGATGCCACTCACCAAAGTAGGATGCAGAACATTTTCTTAATGAGCTTCGTTATGCCAATTGACCTACATATCCCCTGGAAGCATGGTCCCCAGACCCCTATCCCTGCTACTTTGTCCCTCAAAGTGTTTGATTGCATTCAGGAAACTTCTTAGCTTTGGTTTAGTCCAGTTGTGCTGACTTTCCCTGTAGTGAGTGCTGTTCTTCCCTTCACCTAATGTAATACATATCTTCTATCTAGTTAGCAAACATCCCTCACCTTCTCTCCCTACCCTCGTAAATCATCATCAAAGAATGTTTTCTTCTGTGTTTAAACCTTTTCTTGAGTTCTTATAATAGTAGTCTTATACAATATTTGTCCTTCTGTGACTGACTAAATTCACTCAGCATAATGACCTCCAGCTTCCTCCACGTTATAAGACGTGTCATGGCTTCATCGTTGTTCTTTAACGTTGCGTAGTATTCCATTGCGTGGATATACCATAATTTGTTTATCCATTCATCCATTGACAGGCACCTAACTTGTTTCCATCTTTTTGTTATTGTGAACAGTGCTGCAATGAACATTCGTGTGAATATATCTATTTGTGTGATAGCTCTTACTTCTCTAGGATATATTTCAAGGAAAGGGATAGCTGGATCATAATATGGTACTTCTACTTCTAACTTTTTAAGGAAGCGCCAAATCGATTTCCACAGTAGTTGTACCATTTTACATTCCCACCAACAGTGTATAAGTGTTCCAGTCAATCCACAACCTCTCCAACATTTGCTGTTCTGTGTTTTCTGGACTAATACTAGCCTTGTTGGGGTGAGATGATATCTCGTTGTTTTGATCTGCATTTCTCTAATCACTAATGATCTGACAATTTCTTCATGTGTCTGTCAGCCGCCTAAATATCTTCTTTGGCGAAATGCCTTTTCATATCCTTTGCCCATTTTTAATTGGATTATCTGTCTTTTTGTTGTTGAGGTGCTGGATTTTCCTGTAGATTTGAGATTAGAGGCTGATCGGATCTGTTGTAGCCAAAAAATTTTTCCCAGTGTGTAGGCTGTCTTTTTACTATTTTGGTGAAGTCTTTTGATGGGCATAAGTGTTTGATTTTTAGGAGCTCCCAATTATCTGGTCTCCCTTCTAGCACTTGTGAATTGTTACTTATTGTGTTTATGGCATGTATTAGGGCTCCTAGCCTTGTCCTTATTTTTTCTTCCATGATCCTTAACGTTTTTGATTTTATATTCATGTCTTTGATCCATTTTGAGTTACTGTTTGTGCATGGTGTGAGGTATGGGTGTTTTCAGTTTTTTGCAGATGGATATCTAGTTATGCCAGCACCACTTGTTAAAAGAGACTGTCTTTTCCCCAATTAATGGACTTTGGGCCTTTGTCAAATATCAGCTGCTCATAGGTGGATGAATTTATGTCTGGATTCTCAATTCT